GCCTGCATCTATGGCAAGCATCCTCAGAGGTAGTGAGGTCTGTTGGAACTAGGAAAATGGGTTTATATATCTGTGGAATGACCAGGGTGGGACAAAGGACTTTTGTCTGCTGGAGCTAGGTGTGAATGTTTCAACTGGCCACATTGATTAGCATTTAATGGCTTGGAAGTGCCTGGGGGAATCTTTTGTTGAGAGGTGATGTGATGTGCCTGATTGTTTACTCTCTGTTGTTTTGCTGTTGTAATTTTTGAGATTTTTTTTTAATACTGGAAGCCAGATTTTGTTCATTTTCATGGTTTCTTCCTTTCTGTTGAGAAAGAGAAAATGCCTCTAGAACAGTGGTTCTCAACCTTCCTAATGCTGCGACCCCTTAATACAGTTCCTCATGTTGTGGTGACCCCCAACCATAACCCTAACATTATGAATCGCCATGTAAATAATGATCTGCAGGATGTATTTTCATTCACTGGAGCAAATTTGGCACAAATACCCGGTATGCCCAAATTTGAATACTGGTGGGGTTGGTGGGGGGATTGATTTTGTCATTTGGGAGTTGTAGTTGCTGGGATTTATAGTTAACATGTAAACAAAGAGCATTCTGAACCCACCAACAATGGAATTGAACCAAAGTTGGCACAGAGAACTCCCATGACCAACAGAAAATACTGGAAGGGTTTGGTGGGCATTGACCTTGAGTTTGGGAGTTGTAGTTCACCTACATCCAGAGAGCACTGTGGACTCAAACAGTGATGGATCTGGACCAAACTTGGCATGGATACTCAATATGCCCAAATGTGAACACTGATGGGGTTTGGGGAAAATAGACTTTGATGTTTGGAAGTTGTAGATACTGGGATTTATAGTTCACCTACAATCAAGGAGTGTTCTGAACCCCACCAGAATTGGGCCAAACTTCCCACACAGAACCCCCATGACCAACAGAAAATACTGTGTTTTCTGATGGTCTTTGGCGACCCCTCTGACACCCCTTTGCGACCCCCCTCAGGGGTCCCGACCCCCAGGTTGAGAAACACTGCTCTAGAACATGGCCATATCGCCCGGAAAAACCTAAAACAACCCAGTGATTCCGGCCATGAAAGCCTTCGACAATACAAAGACATTCAAGTTTTGGCCTCTCAGAGCACCAGTTCAACATTTAAACCATTACACCATGCTAGATCGCATTCTTGGGAAATCACTCTTGCTTTTGAGAATATGGCAGCCAATCTCTAAATAAATTAATTAATGCCTAGACCAGGAGCTGCAACTGAAACAATAGGTATAATTTTCAAGTAGATTCATAACATGGCTTATACGATTAGAAATAGTAAAATAATTTAAACATATGCTACACTGAAATTCAAGCTATCACAAACCGAGTGGGCTTGTCATTGTGAAAGGAGGTATCTGAATTTTATATAGTTATTAGGTATTATACTGCCCCATTTTCAAGAAAGATAAAAGGAAAGACACATGGTAGTCCTGAAGGAATAAAAAGGCCCAAGAATTCTTCTTCTCGTTGAGAATCAATGGACCAGAAAACAGGGGCTAGTCCAGCACACAGAATTCCATGTGTTCAATATGATACCAAAAACACATCATTCATAAATGCCTAAGAACTCTTTAAAGTATACAAGTACATTCCCGCAATGACATGGAAAAGCAACTCACATCCTTCATGCTATACCACCACAAGGATTTTTAAATAGTTTGGTTATCCATCAACATCCCCCCTAGAATGGGATGGCTAACAACAAGTATGTTCATCACAAGCGTGAGGAAGAGGAAACTATGTCACTAAGTTCTTGTGGGTTTTTTCGGGCTATATGGCCATGTTCTAGAGGCATTTCTCCTGACGTTTCGCCTGCATCTATGGCAAGCATCCTCAGAGGTGAGGTCTGTTGGAACTGGGAAAAAGGGTTTATATATCTGTGGAATGACCAGCGTGAGACAAAGGACTTTTGTCAGTTGGGCTAGGTGTGATTGTTTCAACTGACCACCTTGATTAGCATACAATGTGTGCCTGGAGCTGCGTTTGGTGGTCCCTATGTAGACTTGTCCAAACAAGTAGCGCCCAAACAAGAATCAAGGAACATGAAAGGCACTGCAGACTACTTCAACCAGAGAAGTCAGCCATAGCAGAGCACCTGATGAACCAACCTGGACACAGCATTTTATTTGAGAACACAAAAATGCTGGACCACTCTCACAACCACCATGTCAGACTACACAGAGAAGCCATTGAAATACACAAACATGTGGACAATTTCAACAGAAAGGAGGAAACCATAAAATGAACAAGATCCGGCTACCAGTATTAAAAAATTCAAAAATTGCAACAGCAAAAACAGCAGAGAGGAAACAGGCAGGGACATCTAATTACCTTTCAAGAAAGGTTTGCTCCAGGCACAGTCAGCCCATTGTATGCTAATCAAGGTGGTCAGTTGAAACATTCACACCTAGCCCAACTGACAAAAGTCCTTTGTCTCACGCTGGTCATTCCACAGATATATAAACCCATTTTCCCAGTCCCAGCAGACCTCACCTCTGAGGATGCTTGCCATAGATGCAGGCGAAACGTCAGGAGAAATGCCTCTAGAACATGGCCATATAGCCCAAAAAAACCCACAAGAACTTAGTGATTCCAGCCATGAAAGCCTTCAACAATACATTGAAACTATGTCAGTTTCAAGTACTCTTTATATCATGTCAGTCCTTATATTTTGGTATGAAATCTTAGTCCTTGTATTCTTAAGTAAATGAAGGCAAACCAGCATCATCTCTTGGGCTAAAAGGATGATAAAGAACTCACTGGCCGTCAGCCTGAATGTTTAGGTTCCCAATGATATCAATGGGCTACACGCATGCAACAAGTCTGTTGATATTCCTGCACTGAGATGCTCATGGGCAGAATGGCAAGTTACACTTCCGGTTTTGTGAAAGTTTCCTTTTTAAGACAAATACACATTTGGTTCACTGAAGTTCAAAGATACACAATTCCCTTTCTTGTTCAATCCAATTTCACCAAAACTTTGAAAGTATTTCCAGTCATTTATCATTACTCCTATGGGACTTATTTTAACATGTGGCAGAGATATATCTCTTTATAAAACCACAGCACAAGTGTTCTCTGATTTAAAGCATCTGCTTTTCTGTTTGAGCGGTATGCATCAGTATATTATTAACGGTTCTGACAATTTACTTGAATCCAAGAGCTAAGAGCACAGAAACCTTTTATCACTATTTTTTCTGTATAAAATGTATTTAACTCATATTTTAGTATATAGCTATATTTTAGCATAAACCCATTTGTAACCACATCAAATTGATTATTTCATATATTGTAGCATACCTTGTTCTTTTGCCCATTACAAAACAGCACAGCAAATCTGCATTTAATGTGCCTCAAACCTAGACTCATATCTTCCTTTTGGATATTATCTGTAGTAAATACACAAATCAGTTTGTCTATCACAGCTTTCACCAGAAAAATTCTAGACACTGTAAGTTGGCAAGAATATGGAGGAGACCCTAATGCCTCCTGTTGTAGGCTTTGATTTTTAGATTAACTGGGAAGAGAATGACTGTCAACACCAATTTAAATATCTAGTCTAGACATGTTGTCACCAAATTTAGCAAATTTTAAGAGCTTTTGAGGTACGAAGAAGGATAAAATCACAAAAATAGCACTCTCAATTGCAAAATACGAGGGGTATTTTTTAAGTAAGGTCCGTTTTGTTTTAGACACTAGTAGTTTGCGCGCATACCGCAACGAGCGCATGCGTCGTGTATCGGCATGCCTTGGGAACAACTGTGCTCAGTTTCCGCTCTGTAGCTAACCTGCACGGTTCTGTTCTGTGCTTTAAAAATGTTTAAGACTATCAACTCACCCGCCGCATGTGAGGTTCGCTCAGTGATACGGTTTTTGTCAGCAAGGAACCTGCCTGCTGCAGAAATTCATCGACAGATTTGTGAAGTGTACGGTGATTCTGTTATGAGTGAAAGCAAAGTGCGTAAGTGGGTACGACAATTCAAAGATGGCCGTGACAACGTCCATGATGAGGACCGCTCCGGTCGCCCTTTGACGATGTGAAAACGGCAGTGAACTCTTGGTTATCGGAGCAGGCGGCAAGTTTTTATGAAGAGGGTATTTTAAAATTGGTTCAGAGGTATGATAAGTGTTTGAACAAACTTGGCAACTATGTCAAAAATAGAGTGAAGTATGTACTTTCTGAAAATAAATTTACTTTTTTGAAATAAACTTTCGTTGTGTACTTATGTTCAAACGGACCTTACTTAAAAAATACCCCTTGTACATATTAGCTGCTAAAATTATGGCAGTTCAGTCTTGCAATGAAGTGGCCATTGGATCATTGAGATAACTGAAGCGTGTACCCCCCCCCCCCGCCCCACTTTAATAATGGACATTATCAACATTTTATTTGGTTCTGATAACTTTATAAATAATGCAACTATCATGTCTAGCAAACTGTACATGACACTGATCTTAAGTACAAAGTTTTGATTATGACTAAAAAAGCTGGAGAGCAATTATGCATTGACAAATCTTTCTTTCCAAAACCGAGCTCTACTTTATTGAATACTCTCGGCTACACAAAGAGCTCTCAATCATGAAATCAACTGAACGGGATTCCCGGTTCTACGAGTCCTCATTCAATTGCTGTCTTTCTAAATTAGAAATGGTTTTGAACTTTTGTTATATATTTATGTAGTTTATATATAAGCACATTCAACTGGAATTCTGTTTAAAAGCTGGGGAAAATGTTCAGCAGAAAAAAAAACCCCTCAAAATATCACAGCTTTGGATTGGGAAAAACAATAGCAACAGAAATACAAATATGTCTATAACCACTATTAAATTTATCAAACGCGTTTTCCTGAAGTCCTCTCTTAATTATTTACATGCTAAGGAAATAAAAACTCTCCTCACACATTCTTCATGGTGACATTTCTCAATCAGGGTGATAAAAGCAGGACAAATATGCTGACTGGCTTCTGTCTGTCTTTAAAAAATGAAGTCACCACACAATTAAGTACAAAACCCTGCATTGAATGACAATTGCTGGTGTTGTACCTTGATCGGTTATGGAGACCAAGGGTAGAGTGAAAGCCCTAGAACAGATATTATTTCGGCAGGTTTTCCAATAGGTATGTCTGCACTAAATGTTGGCAATTTTTTTCTGGAGCATTAGGCTTATACAAAACACAGAAGTCCTCCTTGGTCTGTACAGCATAAAATGGAGCATTTGCTTGTTTCAGTCTCCCAAAACACACGCATAAACTAGAGTGAATTGTGTCCTCAGAAGAATATCTGTTTGGCATCTCCAGGGCTCTGTTCCATAGGACAATAAGGACATTTTAACCTGAAAAGAAAAAAAGGTAAGTTGAAGTAAATGCTAATCAAGGTGGTCAGTTGAAACATTCACACCTAGCTCCAGCAGACAAGAGTTCTTTGTCCCACCTTGGTCATTCCACAGATATATAAACCCATTTTCCTAGTTCCAACAGACCTCACCACCTCTGAGGATGCTTGCCATAGATGCAGGCGAAACGTCAGGAGAGAATACCTCTAGAACATGGCCATATAGCCCGAAAAAACCTACAATAACCCAGTGATTCCGTCCATGAAAGCCTTTCGACAATACAAAATATTCTGAAATATTATTCTGGTACACTGAGAGTTGTTTTGCTTCAATATGACTTATATGAGGGTGAGTCAAAAACTATCCACACTCTGGTTCTATTAAAGCTTCTTTGGGCCGCACTGTCTTATCAGTGCTTCCGGTGTGAAGTTGCTGTCTCCACAGTCACTGCTGGGCTGTTTTGTGATTTGCAGGAAAGAAGAGCAGCATGCAGTGCAAAGGGTTTGGTCAACAGTACTTATTACAGTGAGATGCTCACTGAAGAGTTTAAGCCTAAAATCTGATCAAAACACAGAGGAATGCTATTCTAGGGGTGTTGTGTTGTTGTAGGACAATAGATGTCCACCCAGTGATGCCCATACTATCAACACTCACCAAAAACTTCATTCTGAAGGGTTAAAGCACAGAATTATTTAAAATACTGTAGAAAATTACCTATGTGTATGTGTATGCTATATATGTTTAAACTTGGATTCTGCTTCCAAGGTATATCATAATGTACAAATATAGAAAAAGTTTTCAAAATTCAGAAACTTCCGAATTCTGTTTCAAACATTTTTGTATAAGGGACACTCAACCTGTACAATTAATAGTAGTCATATTTCACCATCATTTTAAAATGCCTATTAAATGCAAAAGAAATGCAATATGCTAAACATTAAAGATGGTTACTTACTTGCTGCCATTAAACATTTTATTTAGAGCATCTCTTGATATAATATGACCGCAAACCAACTTCATAGGTGGGTTATTATCTGTTGTTTGCTGACGAAGGATGGGGCAGGCAAATATTGAATGGTACCAGCACTTTTTCCCAAGGTCCACTTCAATCTGTACAAAAGAAAAGCATTGCCACTCTTTAGATCAGGAACATACTCAGGTATCTGTAGGCATATTTGTTAGAAAAGGGTCAGAGCTCTGCTTTTTTCTTCCCTCTTCCTCTCATGCTCTCTCTCTCTGATCCAAATGATATATGTTGTTGATTGTAGCACCACTGCCATTGTTTCACTGAGGTATTGTAGCACCACTGCCATTATTTCTCGTAACTAGAAATGTTATTTTCCTGGGCATATGAACAAAAAGTATGTGGTTGAATGATGGAAGCAGGCACGAGCTGCAATGATTGCCTCTTTTAGGGAATCATGCAGTCAGAGAACATGTATGTGCCTTATTTAAGGGAATGACATAAAAACTTCAAAACAACTAAAGTCAGGACTATGACCTGGAAACAACTCGTGAAATCAGACACCAAATGATCACAGCACTTGCATATCAGGGACAAGCCAGATGCACAGGAAAAATAGATTTAAACATTGTCACTATTTCCCTCTGTAATTTTTAGGACAGTAGTTTTCATATAAAGTACCTATCTCCCAATGAAACAGTTAAAAAACCACATCAGATAACAGCATTTAATAACCGGAGTCAGAAACACATGTAATTCAGCTGCTAGTCTTTTGTTTCAACTGCTTTTTCTCAGATAGTGATACAATTTCTACCACTTTAATTTCTCCCACACTGCTAACAACTCAACTTTAACTAAATCCTATGCCTCTGTATCTGAATGACTTGCTTCACAGCCTCTTTTTTGTCTTCATTCCCTTGCCTTTGTTTTCTTCACCATGTTGAATTTCAGTTTGAAAGTTCCTAGAACTTTAAAAACTTTTGTATTGCACTTTTTAAACTTGTCTAGTGTAAATTGTTAGCTGCCTTGAGTCCCCACAAGGAGAAAGGCAGGTTATAAATCAAGATGATGATAATAATAATAATAATAATAGAGAGCCCATACTTTTCTACACTTATAAAGTGTCATACATATTATAACAATAAAATAGTTAATCTACTTGAAATAATTTTACAATATTTATAAAATAAATTTAACAATAAATAATTCAATGCCTTCTTAAGTCATCTGCAAAGAAATCCTTCATAATCCCTGATCAAGATGTCGTGCACAGCAACACCATGACAGCATTCAATGCCTTCTTAAGTCATAAAGGGCATTTCCAATCTACACTTATAAGGTGTCATACATACTATAACACTAAAATAGTTAATCTACTTGAAATCATTGTATAATATTTATAAAATAAATTTTAACAATAAATCATTCAATGCCTTCTTAAGTCATCTGCAAAGAAATCCTTCATAATCCCTGATCAAGATGTTGCCCACAGGAACACCATGACATCATGAAGGGCATTTCCAATAAGACACCACCATCTGTGAACTGGGCTTCTATTCTATCAGGAACGTCCCATTTATACATCAAATCTGTTATGTTATGTTATACTGATCAAACACAATTTTTAAAAAATCTGAACTCCACAAATATCCTTATTGTCCATTAATCTACAAATAACTCTCAAGGTTTCCAAACATTGCTTTTCTGTAAATGAATGTCACAACACTGCCAAATGAATGTAAGTGGTTGGTTACTTTTAAATACATTTCATTATCCAAAAAGCCATTTCCACAGGGGAGGGCTGTATGCCTAACTACCACAAAATGGAAGGGTGACTATATTTAAAATCTGACTGTGTCAGAGTGAATGCAGCATTCTCTTGGACAGAAGTTGCATCTCTTAAAATACACACCCCCATGTGCGGTATTCCACAAAGTTACATCACCTGTGGCTATATTATGATCTAGTATAATATTAGTAGATGGGGAGTTGTTTTAACAGTTATCACACAAAACTACTCACCGGTAATTCATCTTTCTGATTCCAAACACCAGTGCACTGTCTCTGTTCAATCACAGCTTTTATATTAATTAGAGCTGGCAATGCTACACAACCTGCTGAAAAGCTGTAGATACAGAGCAGAAAGTTAGTATGAAATATGGGCTTTGATAAACAGGCTCTATTTCAGTAGTAAGTACAGCACAACACAATAGAGTCTTACTTTTCTTAATGTAATTTTAAATTGACAGCACTGTCAAAATAACACATAACCATTAAACTTGGAAAAGCCAGGCGACATAGAACTGAATGCATTTATTATGGGGCTTCATTGTATTTCATATATATTGCTTCTTATAAGGGTTCCATGTGAAGGGCAAGATCACATCTAGTTTTATAATTATCAGCTTACCTTTAAAACAGACCAGAAATATACAGATATTATTAGTGAGATAAGTGTTAACTGCTTATGTTTAGTCTGCCTTCTACATTAATTATTGATATTTTTGAAATATAAAAATAAGATATTTAGAATAAAAAGGCAAGTAAAGAAAACTACTGATTAAAATTTCCCAATAAAAAGAAGTCAGACTTTGCTTTAAACTTGTTTTGTTCATCCCAGAAAAGTGTTTGTGTGTGTATGATGAAACAATCTCAAGCAGACCACAATACCATTCCTGTAATATGATATGGTTACTAAGATAGGGTGTCATTGTCTAATTATGTCTAGACACAGAAGCAGATGAAAGGTTCTCCCAACTGCCATTGCCCTGTGACTTCAGTGAGAGAGAAGAGGCAATACCTATTGGACTTCATTCCTTGACACACTCCCATGCCCTTTTCTTACTGTATCATGTCCAACACTCAAACCACTGCACCATGATGGCTCTCATGGTTTAATATACTGCATAGCAATCTAAAAAGAAACCTTCTAGCTAAAAAGGGGATAAGGAGTCATACAAAAATGCAAAACAAAAAAAAAAAGCTTCTTTAGAGGTTTGTTAACTGAGATATCTCTACAAGAGTGAATCACTATGAACACAATCCATTTCCAGGCACTACATAAGTACAATCCCCCCCTCTGGCACCAACTGCTGCTCTGGCCAGAGTGAAGACAGAGGGGAGCTGAAGACAGTTCCATATTGTCTTTACTAATAATATAATATAGTATATTGTGTATACATATAATACGAGGGGTATTTTTTAAGTAAGGTCCATTTTGTTGTAGACACTAGTAGTTTGCACGCATACCGCACCGAGCGCGTGCGTCGTGTACCGGCATGCCTCGGGAACAACTGTGCTCAGTTTCCGCTCTGTAGCTAACCTGTACGGTTCTGTTCTGTGCTTTAAAAATGTTTAAGACTATCAACTCACCCTCCGCATGTGAGGTTTGCTCCGTGATACGGTTTTTGTCAGCAAGGAACCTGCCTGCTGCAGAAATTCATCGACAGATTTGTGAAGTGTACGGTGATACTGTTATGAGTGAAAGCAAAGTGCGTAAGTGGGTACGACAATTCAAAGATGGCCGTGACAACGTCCATGATGAGGACCGCTCCGGTCGCCCTTCTTTGATTACAGTGAACTCTTGGTTATCGGAGCAGGCGGCAAGTTTTTATGAAGAGGATATTTTAAAATTGGTTCAGAGGTATGATAAGTGTTTGAACAAACTTGGCAACTATGTCGAAAAATAGAGTGAAGTATGTACTTTCTGAAAATAAATTTACTTTTTTGAAATAAACTTTCGTTGTGTACTTATGTTCAAACGGACCTTACTTAAAAAATACCCCTTTATAATATTATGATGTAATACAATATAATACTAGTAATAATAATACAATATTAAAATTCTAATTATATATTTACATTACTTGTAATATTACTAATAATATTACAATATAATAGTATAGTGCAATATAGTAATATATAATACTCATATTGTACTATGCTAATAATATAATATATTGTATGAAAATATATCTTGCAAGCCACTTTGGGGTGAGAAGGGCGGCATATAAATGCTGCAAATATTTATTTATTTTTTTATTAAAGTTTTACAAATTGTACAAACAACATTTAAAAGGTATCGGAGAGGGTTGGGGGGGGGAAGGAGGGGGGAGGGCGGGGAGCTGGTATAACAATATGTATCCGAATGCATCCCTGCAAAACGAAGTCTGCAGCCGTCTTGCTTACACATATATCTACCCGCTTCCCTACGAGGGAGGAAGGTGGTGAGCACAGTGCTAATCGGGGTAGTGAAGGGACGGGGATAGTGTGAGGTGAGGGGAATGATGGCTTCCCAATAAATAAATAAAAATATAAATGCTGCAAATAAATAAATAAATAAATAAATAATGCTAGGGTTTCTATTGAAAAAATAAGGCAAAACAATATTTCTAACTACAATTGAACTTTAGAAAGCATGTAATGTGAGTGTAGCCATACCTAACACTAAGAGGTGATTCAACTGAGAGTCCCAGGAGAGCACAAGCATCCCTTGTAAAGATGTCGCAGATGTCTGCCCATTGGTTTGCATCCAATAAATGAACATACGGGGAATTTTCTATTCCTTGCCTAAGGTAGACTAGGCTTCCCATTAAAACTTGAATATCTGTGAAAGACAACATAGTTGTAGTTTATAAATTGCATCCTATGGAAAACAAATTTGACCACTGATCCATCAAATTTAGAATAGTTATTATGTATTAAAAAATCACAAACGTTCCTCATTATCATTTCCAAAAATTACTTCAGAACAGTGGGTTGTTATAGGTTTTTTCGGGCTATATGGCCATGTTCTAGATCAGGGGTCCTCAAATTTTTTAAACAGAGGGCCAGGTCACAGTCCCTCAAACTGTTGGATGGCCGGATTATAATTTGAAAAAAAATATGAATGAATTCCTATGCACACTGCACATATCTTATTTGTAGTGCAAAAACACTTTAAAACAATACAATAATTATAATGAAGAACAATTTTAACAAATATAAACTTATTAGTATTTCAATGGGAAGTGTGGGCCTGCTTTTGGCTGATGAGATAGGATTGTTGTTGTTGTGTGCTTTCAAATCATTTCAGACTTAGGTTGACCTTGAGCGAGGGCCAGGTAAATAACCTTGGAGGGCCATATCCGGCCCCTGGGCCTTAGTTTGAGGACCCCTGCACTAGAGAGTTCCCAATAGCCAGGAATTCAATATAAAATAGCAATGCACATTTATATGAAACTTTAGATACTAAATAATCCCTCCAAGTGTTCAAAAGGAACTGAAAAGGGTTTTTTTCCAGTTTACAATTTAAGAGTGGCCAGAACCTTTATGAATAATTGAAATCCAAAGACACAATAAGCAATAGTTTAACATGGTATATTGAACTGCAACTGGGACTACCCTTAACTACAGTTTGTTTGAATAAAGCTAACTTCTACAGATTATGAAGTTAGTTCCTTTCAGCAAAACATAGTAAAATTTTATCTTTAACAATTTACCAATTTACCAATTTTATCTTTAACACAGTAAAATTTTATCTTTAACAATTTTTTAAGAATGCATGGTCAACTGGAAGCATGTTCTGAACTAATGGGAATTTTAATATACAGTCAATCATTCCTCAACATTCACAGTTCTGAGTTTTGTGGATTTTATCCTACATCTTTTTTTGTAGCTTACCTTTTTGATGGTTAAGAGCAAAAGGTTGAAAATTTTTAGCATATTGCAAAGCTTCTCTCTGGTTTGAAGTTCCACCCATTAATAAACTAATAAAATATAATCGGTGTAGTTTAAACTCTAATGAGCTATTCTGTGCCATAAGCATTTCTCTATTCGATACAGCCCACCTAAAAGAAAATGGGGCAAAGAAAATGACAAAAAATACGTTAAAATTTAAAATTTTAGGTAAGCCAGTACAATTAGCCACATTTACTGTAAGACCTTTAATGTGCAGAGTGTTTTGAAAACGTGGAGCCAATTTGAAATCGTTGTAATTCCAACCACAAACCACCATGGATGAAACTCTTCCCTTTAAAATAATGGGGCACAGTGTTTCAAATTATCACCACTAGAGGCCTCTTCCAGTGGACAAACAGCCCCGTAGCCTCAGTCATTCCAAAGATGGTGACTCTACAACATAAGATCAAATGAGATATTCTCCCTTTGCAGAGTTAATCTTTAGATTTGTTTCTAGTTCAAAATAGTTAATAAAACTTAATAACTTGTTAAACTGTTTGTAACTTTTTACAAAATTGTAACAGATTGCCACTGTGAAATACTTTGAAATTGGAATACCCTGTAGTTTTAAGGATTGCACTCTTGAGCCAGCATGGTACAGTGGTTAAAGAACTGGACTGTGGCTTTTGGAGACAAGGGTTTGAAACCCCATTCAGCTATGGATTCCCACTGGGTGACCTTGAGCAAGTCACACACATAGCTTCAGAGGAAGGCAAAGGCAAGTCCATTTGAACAAACCTTGCCAAGAAAACACCATGATGGGGTAGCCATAGGTCAGGAATAACTTGAAACTATGCAACCCAATAACAAACTCCACCCTGGGGGAAGAATATTACTCTCTCTCAAAACACAGCCAGCTTCTAACCAGTTTGCCTAACCATATCAATAAATCATCACTATTTTATCAGCAGATGTTCAGAATTAATGTTCACAACACTGTATGCATTTCAGACTTTAAAAATCCACAGATTTCTCAGGGGTTGTGGCCTAACAGATCTTGAGAGAAACTAACACAACTGTCACTAAATGTCATCAGATTCAACAAGGTCATGCTGCCAGAGAAAATCCTTTTATAGTACTTGGAAATAATCACCAGCTACATTCCTTGACCATATCAGAGTTGTTGTTAAGCAACAAGGCAAAGATATTTCCATAGAATAGCAGAAGCTAGAAATGTTGTTCTTGTCCACTGCAACAAAACATTTGCATGTAGTCCAAAGGTAATTGGTAAATATGGTTTCTTTCTTACAATTGAATGTTTGCCTACATGTTGGAAACCGCACTGAGTCTCTTTGGGGAGATAGGGTGATATACAAATAAAGTTTATTATTATTAATAATAATAATACAGACCACCTGCTGCAATGCAACCTGAGCCCTGCCACATGCACAATGGAGGACCTTCTTGAAACAACACCAGAGGCACTCCAAGTGGCCAGCTACTGGTCAACGGACATTTAATCAACTACCAAGCTTGCAAACTTTGTGTTTTGTTTGTTTGTTAAAAAAATACAGTGCAACTGTTTGGTCTGCCCCTGACACGACAAATAAATAAATAAATAAATAAATAATTGGGGAGAGGGGTCAGTAGCTTTTGCAGAATTACTTGAAAGTCTATCTTAAAATATCCCAATTATTTTGTAACCAATAGATACTTACTAACAGCCTGTCATTAACTATTAATTATACCAATGCTATTCATCTCACATCCAGGAAGCATTTCCTGTTTAGTTGGAGCAATGATCAAAAGTATGAAGCTAAAGATAGTATGATTGATGTTCAAGTCATACCAATTTTAGTGTAACTAAATCCATTTATACAAGTGCACCCAGGACCACAAACCTGTACGTCAGATCCAAAACAACTGAGAAAAGGCAAGGAAGTTACTGATCAACAAGCAGAAAGAAAAACAGAAAAAGTTTTCCTGCAAGCAACTAATCCTATTTTGCTTTTTGTTCAGTACCAAAAGCTAAACAGAAGATTCCTAAGCATGCGTTTTTATGATTCAACTTTATTATTATATATGTTGCAAGTAGCCTCTGGTCGCGTCTGGAGTGAGAGAATCAGCCGTCTACGAAGACACTGCCCAGGGGATGCCCGGATGTCTTGCAATCCTGCAAGGAGGCTTCTCTCATATCCCACCACGCTAAAACAGTGGGTGTGGCCCTTAATGAGACATGCCAAATTATCATGGGGTGTCTGCACCCTAAACCACTGAAGAAATTACACTGTTTAGCCGGTATTGTGCCACCTGACATCCGCCGGGAAATAGCAGCCAATAGTGAAAGGACCAAGGCAGTGACATTTCCAGCTCATCCCGTTTGGGTATCAGCCAGCACGTCAACAACTTAAATCAAGAAATAGTTTTCTAAGATCTACAGAGACACTCGCTGGAACACCTCAGCAAGCGAGAGTCCAAAAGTGGCAGGCTCAAACCCAGAACCACAATCAATGGCTGATACCAAATGAGAGACTCCCCCCCGGGCACACAGAAAACTGGGCGACTTGGAAGGCATTAAACAGACTGCGCTCTGGTACCACGAGATGCGGAGCCAACCTTAAGAAATGGGGCTGGAATCCACGACATATTAGTGTTGAGAAGAGCAAACTATAGACCATCTGCTGCAATGCAACCTGAGCCCTGCCACATGCACAATGAAGGACCTTCTTATAGTAACACCAGAGGCACTCCAAGTGGCCAGCTACTGGTCAGAGGACATTTAATCAACTACCAAGCTTGCAAACTTTGTTTTGTTTGTTTGTTTGTTTGTTAAAAAATGCAATACAACTGTTTGGTTTGCTCCTGACACGATAAATAAATGCATAAATATAAACATATATAACTTGTTCCCAGTATAACATCGATATTTTACCAAATTTGAGCAGCCTGCTGCTTTTAATTCAGTATATTTAATCCAATCAAAGGTATCCTTCTCCTAGAAACTCCAAAGAAGTGAAAATGGCAAATTGTGGTAATTCTTCACCAAGGAGAAACAAAGGCACAGACAAATCAAAGGTAGTTTACAGTTTAGACCAAGAAATCTAGTGGAATTACAGGCTATGGGAACAGAGCAACTGATGCTAAAGTGTCCTGTCCTGACTGAAACTGCTTCCACACACTATTTCATGGATCATGTAACTGAGGTGGAAATACACTTTTCTTTTCTGTATAAGCAGATTATAAAAATGTGACAGTGAAAAGTTCACAAAAGATTCTAGATTGGGATGAGCAGCTGTGATTGGGATGAGCATTCCCTGTGAGACATGCAGTCTGTGCTGCACTACAGAAATCAAAGAGTATTCTGAACTCCACCAACGATAGAATTGGGCCAAACTTGGCACAAAGAACCACATGAGCAACAGAAAATAATGTGTTTTCTGATGGTCTTTGGCGACCCCTCTGACGCTCCCTCGCGACCCCACAGTGGTCCCAACCCCCAGGTTGAGAAACGTTGTAGTAGAGGAAGTCCCCACTTATCTGAGGAGTTACGGACTGAAGCACTGTCAGAAAGTGGAACTGGTAAAAAAAGTGGAACCCTAGTTATTTCAGCTTGCAAATGCTAAAAATAACCATAAATATTTCGCATTGTATTTAAGTTCTGAATCCATGGGAAAGCTAAAAGTGTGCAATCGTAAGTGATGCAAGGAGGAATATGTTCTTTCTGTAGTCAAGCATTGGGATTTCGAACAGGCATGCAAACACTCTCAAGCGAGCCTTATAAGCAAGAAGACTCCTTGTCAAATTAATGGAACTTGTTGAAAGAGCAAGTCATCAGAAAGCAAGTAGAAGAGGAACTGGATCCACTTCACTTACCCCACAGAGCTAGATAATCTTTTGCTTCCTGTGTGCCATGAATGTCTGTTTCAGCCAGGCAAAGAAAGGGAGGTATCAGGGTGAGGGACAGAAACATGTGGAATGTAGGAAGAGATTCTTATCCACCAGATAAGTGATGTTCCAGGCGCAAAATCTGCCTAACTTGGGAGTTGAATTAATGTGTCCAGCTACTGGACAAGCCCTGTCACAAATTAGTCTCATCTGAGTCTCAGGATCTTTGCTCACCTGGAAAAAGTAGCAAATTATTTATTCACCTGTGAAACCCAATGTAAAAGAATCTGTTAAAGAAGAGAATTCCAAATTGTATCAGAAGATTTCTAAGACAGAAGAGTAACTCACTCTAATGCAGGTCTCAAAACTCTAACTTTAAGTGCTTCCAGTATTCGGTTCAGCTCCACAAATGGTTGCTTTTGACTTTGGTCTATTGAAAGCCCAGATTCCTGAAAAACAAAGCCACACACACATTAGTGATTTTTCAAAAAAAACAAAAACAAATCAAAATCACCAGATAGACAAAAATAATTCCTATTAGAATGTCAGATCGATTATTTATATTGCCTCACAGTATGAGGAATTCTAGCTGCAATTACCTGACAAAGCTCTTCCGCTACATCTAGCATTCCTTGCCGAAAAAAGTGTTCTACCATCACCTCATTCAAAATTCGCTGGCTATCAGCCTGCCAACATCCATCTATTCCCACACTGCTGATGTCAGAGTCAAAATTCTGTGAAGGAAAATTTGTCAGTTAATTTTGAGTGGAACAAATTCTTCTCTTTTGATAATTGTATTAATTGGAAGAAGCATCAATAGCCACACCCTCAAGGACTTCCAATGATACATAGTGCCAACAATAATATTTTACATAATGGTCTATGCTCTTTACTTTTTACCCAGTTGAGTACTCATGTTTTTGAATGACAACTCCCAACCCTTCTGATTATCTGCCATGGGACTGGGGATAATGGGAATTGCAACACAACGGCACATTGTTACTGTGCCTGTGCATATTGTAATTTGTATATTGTTATATATTCATTTGTTTTATGTTACTGTTTATTGGTTGTGTTTTCAGTTTGTGTTTTTGGTTTTTCTTTATTGTAATTGTTGTTTGGGCTTGGCCTCATGTAAGCCGCTCCGAGTCCCCATAGGGGAAATGGTGGCGGGGTATAAATAAAGATTATTATTATTATTATTATTATTATTATTATTATTATTATTATTATTATTAAAGGACATGTTAAAGTCAGATATCATCTTAATTGGCCTTTTATCTAAATTCAACCCCACTCTCCTGACTAAACAATACAAACTGCAGACTTCCAGATGTTACTGTATCACAACTACCATCAGCTCTAGTCATATCTAATAAGAAATTCAGGAGTTGTAGTCCAGCATCTAAGGCCCTACGTATCATAAAATGATAGGAAGGGCCAGATTTGGCTCTCCATCTGGCACATGTGCCTTAGAGGCAAATGATTAAATTACCTCTCTAAATACCTAAATGGCCTTTTCTCATCCAAGCATAATCTTATATATGCTGCCAAGATAGCTCTAAAGAAACAACCCTACCTGACAAAAGCATTGAATCTTTCTCCCAGCAAGAAGATAGGCCACTAATATCTCTCTGTGCCCTGTCCCAAATGCAACTCTCTAGATTCCTATCTAGCACCCAATGCCTTTCTTACTTCATCCCATCTGAATAATAAAAATAAAAACCTTCTTCATCATGCAGAACTCCTTTTCCATTAATCTACCTATACTTCACCGCCTGATATTTATTAGACACATATCCAGATAGGTGATGGAGAAATGCATTACATTTACAGTAGTCAAATAATAAAGTCACTGGAAGATATCATCAATACCTGGAATAACATGTACATGGATGAAAAGTGTTAAACTAATCCAGTGGTAGGAAAGATACAGCCTTTTAAATGTTATTAGATTTGAAGTCATAAACAGCATAGCTAATGGTAAGAAATACTGGGAGCAGCAGTCCAGCAATATCTGCAAAGTCAAATAATCCCGATCTCTGAGCTAATCCAAATTTAAGAGATAGTTTTAAATCTGCGTGAGTCTTTGTGGGTGGAGTTTTAAACAAAAAAGCGAGACTGAACAGAGATTAAAATTAATATTTCACAAGCAGGGCCCAATCACCTGTCTATGGATACAGATATCTACCTACAGATGAACTGATTAGTACATGTAATGTGTTTGAAAAGTATTTTTTCTCCATTCAAATAAGAAATTTGGTTGGTTTTTTAAAAAAAAAAATTCTTGTTATTTATTTATTTATTTATTTATTTGCTACATTTTTATACCGCCCCTCTCAGCCTGCAGGTGACTTGAGGCGGTTCACAAGGCAACAATTCAATGCCAAAAATATCACAAAAACATTTAAAACATTTAAAAGCATTTACATATCAGTTAAGACCATAACACATTAATAAAAGCAAATCATTTCGTCTCCAAGATAAAAACGTAATCCGATCTCATAGTCCAATTATTCCATATTCCTATGTCCGTTACATTGCCTTTTCAAATGCCTGCTCGAACAGCCAAGTTTTGACTTTTTTCGGAAAGTCAAAAGGGAGGGAGCTGATCTAATGTCCCTAGGAAGTTTTTTCTGATTCGATCCAACAACTACTTTGAGAATTATCAGTCTATTCCAGGAGTCCTCAAACTTTTTAAACCGAGGGCCAGGTCACAGTCCCTCAAACTGTTGGAGGGCTGGATTATAATTTGAAAAAAGCATGAATGAATTCCTATGCATACTGCACATATCTTATTTGTAGTGCAAAAACACTTTAAAACAATACAATAATTAAAATGAAGAACAATTTCAACAAAGATAAAATTATTTGTATTTCAATGGGAAGTGTGGGCCTACTTTTGGCTGATGAGATAGGATTGTTCATGTTGTTATGTGCTTTCAAGTCGTTTCAGACTTAGGTTGACCCTGAGCAAGGGCTGGGTAAATGACCTTTAAGGGCCACATCCGGCCCCCGGGCCATAGTTTGAGGACCCCTGGTCTATTCAATTAATCATATGAAGTGCACAGACTGAAATGCATAAAAACATACACCAAAGAAAGCTTTTCAAACTCTTCGCAGATTTTACTGCAAGGCACTTACATGCCTACCTCACTTGTGAGATCATAGCTTACGCTTAGTAAAGTACTATACAATACAATTACTATATCCATAAGAAATATGTTACCAGATTTCATATGGACACATGAAAGCACAGAAAATAATCCTATTGAAATGAAAGTCTTTTAACCTAAGAACACCAAAGAGTTGCAATGGAGGACCTAGAAAATACTTAGAGCATGTATTTGTCAGACATGGATAAATGGTTCATATATGTGTTTCATACTGTATTCATTAATAATGTATGGTTATACTAGGAGATTATACTATAATAAATGCATTCTGTTTTACATGTGTGAACATTATAACATCAAAAGGAACATAAAAACTGTAAGCACCAAGGGCGAAATTCATTGGGAAGTCTCTTCTATTCCTGCCCCCTGAGGTCAATGGAGAGTGCAAAGGAGCACCCTGTCAATTGCCTTTTTATGCTTTTATTCATATCCAAGTCCTGAACTGGTATGTGGCCACTGTGATGGTCTGGATGAGGGCAAGCAAATTGAAGTTGAATCCAGACAAGACAGAGGTCCTCCTGGTCAGTCACAAGGCCGAACAGGGTATAGGGTCGCAACCTGTGCTGGACAGGGTTACACTCCCCTTGAAGGCACAGGTTCGGAGCTTAGGAGTTCTCCTGGATTCATCACTGAGCCTGGAATCCCAGGTTGCAGCGGTGGCCAGGGGAGTATTCGCACAATTAAAACTTGTGCGCCAGCTGTGCCCATACCATGGGAAGTCAGACTTGGCCACGGTGGTTCATGCACTGGTTACATCTAGGATAGACTACTGCAATGAACTCTACATGGGGTTGCCTTTGAAGACTGCTCGGAAGCTTCAAATAGTCCAAAAAGAGGCAGCCAGGTTAATAACAATTCAATTCAAAGGCTGGCTTTGGCCTATAAAGCCCTAAACGGTCCCGGTCCAAATTACCTGTCTGAATGCATCTCTCCCTATGAACCATCATGGAGGTTAAGATCCTCCGGGGAGGCACTGCTTTCCGTCCTGCCATTGTCACAGGCATGATTGGTGGGGACGAGAGACAGCGCCTTCTCGGTGATTGCTCCCCAGCTATGGAACTCCCTTCCTGGTGAGATCAGGTCGACCCCCTCCCTCCTGTCCTTTAGAAGGATGGTAAAAACATGGCTGTGGGACCAAGCTTTAGGGACAGGGGGATGAAGCGGCAGTGGGAAAGATGACAGGGCCAATTGGATTTGATGTGGATGGCTAGGACGGTTTTAAATGGTGTGTTTTAATATTTTGATAAATGTTTTTTTAATGTTTATTGTATGTGAATTTGTGTCCCAGCATTGAATGTTTGCCGTGTATATGCTTCGGGGTGAAAAGGGAAGAATATAAATGTTTTTAATAATAATAATAATAAAAATAATAATATCAACTAAGTTTTGAACACAAGGATGGGATCCCACTTTTAATCATACTTGAAAAAGACACACTTAAACTAATGAGCTCATGTCAGTCACAAATTACTGGTTGATTTCAGCAGCCCTAAAGTAAGCAGGACTAAGTATAGCAAAGCAAAGACTGAAAATCATAGCTACATTGATATTAATATTAAAAGATTAATATTAAAAGTACCTTATCAATAGCTTTCCCAACACGAGAAACACTACTGTGGATATCCTTGTGATCTGAGGCCAATTTCTGAACGGTGTCCTTTATTCGCTTGCAACACTGAGTCATAACAAGTGATATGGTTCCTGATAGGTCGCCATCTTGATCTAGAGAAAAGGCAGGAAAAAACATAATTGCACTATGAACCAGCAAGGACATTTCCAACGCTGCAAAATTCCTGAAATAAAAACCCCAAGCCTCAGCCTCTCATTTAAATTTCAAAGAGTTACACTGTGGGAGGAGGAACTGTAAGTATAGTGGAATATACTTGTATAGGTTTCACTAGCTTGCTAGCATTTGTAACACGGAAAGTAGAGGGGAAATTCAAGCTAAAACAATATGAAATTGCAATCCTGTAAATATTTAGTGTTTTAATTCAGAATACTAGTAAATGGTTCCTTACCTGAAAAAAACAGCTCTTCCAATTAGTCAAGTACTGTATACACAGACAGCCATTAGTGGAACAACAAAGCACAACTAAACAAACAACTGTGAGATTATCAGGTAAATGAACCTGGACGTTTATTTGTTATAAACTTCTCAAGGCTTGCAAGGACAAAAGAAATGCAAATTGGCTTGGTAACCTAGGTCACTTGGGCAGAATTTGGGACAATTAAGGGCCTTGAATTTCTTCTCTGAGAAGTTCTGTCCAACCAATAACAAACTTCAGCCCTCTGCATGAATTTAGGCAATGCCAGAAAATATGACAGTATTTAAGAATTATGTACAATCATGGAAACAAGTAATAGACCTGTTTTGGGAAATAAACAGTCCAAGCACCATTTGGTGTAGCTTAATGTTCAAGCAATAAGGTACAATCAAGGTAACAGGAGTTCAATCATGTTGCAACACTGATTTCAATGAAAGCCAAATTCAACTCACACAGTCTGGAGCCAAACTATAATGTAATTAATCAGCACTCATAATTGTAGTGTGGCATATTAATGATAAATATAATTTAGTTTTATTCAAGTAATATATACAAATACTCTCAAGATAGGAAACTGAGGCCTCACCTACACTTCCATATAAAACAGTTTCATAATACTGTTTAACAGTGTAGATGGGTCCTGAGCAGCAAGCTGACACAAGTGAGGTACCATTCATGAGAGTGTCTGTGCATATACTGGCAGTCCCCAACTTACGAACATGAGAGGTTCTATACAGGTTAATTCTTCAGCTGAATTTGTTTGTAAGTTGGAACAGGTACATTTTTAAGTGAAACACCAGCCAAAATGTGTATGTTATAGCTTTGGATAGCATAGGGAAGGGTTAAGATCTCTGTGGTATTTGTTTTGCTATCAGTGCTCCTATTCAAAAGATTTCACCTCACTTTCTGTTCCTGTGATAACTGGATTTTTTTTAAAAAATGGCTTGTTGTGAAAACAGGGATTGGTAATAAAGCTTCAGTGGAGATATATTTCCCCCATGATAACTCTTCCAGGAACATATTTCCCTTCCTAGGAGTAGATTTCTCTCACTTCCTGTTGCGTCAACTTCATTCTTAACTATGTCGCTTATAAATTGGATATTTGTAACTCGGGGACTGTCTGGATTTAGATCAGTAGCAAAGCTATCCAACTGCTGCAGCCAGGCAATTCCTAAGGTTCTGGGAGGTCAATGGACAACAAACAAATACCTTAAATAAGTAAATAAAACTCCTGCCAGAATCTGAGTAGTCATGAGGAAAATGCCCAGAAGATTTCATATAGAAACATTTAAATGTGTGAATTAGAATTTTGTGCATATTATACTCTCTAAATATCATTGGCAATAATGATATATGGCTCCGGCCCAGCGTACCTGTCCGAATGTATCTCCTTCTACGTCCCGCCTAGGAATTTAAGATCTTCTGGAGGGGCCCTGCTCTCGGCCCCGCCCTTGTCACAAACGAGGTTGACGGGGATGAGGGACAGGGCCTTCTCGGTGGTGGCCCCCCGCCTGTGGAATTCACTCCCCGGGGAAATTAGATCATCGTCATCCCTCCTCTCTTTCACAAGGAAATTAAAAACATGGATATGGGACCAGGCCTTTGGATAATCTGGCAGACTGACAATGGACAATGACGACTAAAGCTTTGGAAACGGACTATGATAAGCGGAATGCATTTATTAATTACGGACTTGGCAAAACGATGGAATTTTAATTGTATTAATGCAATGTTTTAACTGTTATAATTTATTGTTACTATGTATTTTACTGTGTGAATTGTAGGCATCAACATATGCCAGTTGGAAGCTGCCCTGAGTCCCCCTTCGGGGGTTGAGAAGGGCGGGGTAGAAATACCCGAAATAAATAAATAATAATAAATAATTATAAGAATTGTACTTAAATTCAGCTCCCAATCATTGGAGTCTGACAATAATATTTAAATTCTGCTTTAAAACCACATGAAAAATATTGGGCTTAAACCCAAATAATTGCTTAGTCTAAGTGGCCATAAAACCAATATTTAAACAAAATACCTAACCCTGAAGTGCCTCTCTAAAATCTTGCACAGAAATACACAGTTTCAGTCATTCAAAAAGACCCTCTGTGTATGTATGCATCACTGCACACACATGCACTGATATGCCTACTGCGTGTTAGAATGCACTTTGGAAAGTCAGCAAACCTGTTATTGTGGCTCTCCATTTACCTTTGCTGACTCTATGGTTTATTCTTTCAGGAACCACCAGTGACTCAATCCATTATTACACCGTTTGAATGAGTAAATAATATGTCTACGTGCTTATGTGGAAATAAAATATTGTGCCTTTTTTAAACTCATGAACACATGATTAGAAGAGGCAAAAGATTACTAAGGTTGATACCCAACTCTCTCAACTCTAGAAGTCAAAACAAAATATTGTCTTCTACATCTCAAAGATAAGGCTATGCAGTCACTTTGGCTTTTTGATTCCGTTAGGAGATTTACTCTCTAAATGACAATTTCATTTGCCAAATAACAATATGGTCCTTGAACTCAGTAACAATAGCTGCAACCCTATTGCCAAAATCAATTTTATTTAAAATGCTAATAATAGAGAGACCTTTTGTCATTTCCTTTCAAAAGTCAAAGCCCATCTTCAAGCTATGATCTATTCTGAACATTAAATTAGCTTACAATATTACTTTGCACTCATTTCTCTTTTTTCCTCCTTAAGTCACACATTTATATACAGTATAACTGTTGTTAAACACTGGAGAGCGATATGTCAGCCCTCCATATTTATGGGGTTAGCTTTCGTAGATTGTGTGGTCTCTAGGTGTTTCAACAGAACTTGGTCAACTTCACCAGAAGTTGATCACAGTGTCACACTGGAAGTTCCTAGAGAGGTGTTCTTTCAGTTAAAAAATATAGTAGTTTTTAAAAGTACAGTTTCTCACTTGTGCTTAGCTCCTGTGTCTTAATCCCAGAGAATGTGGAGGGTTGACTGTCTTTTTAAAAAGTTTAATAGGAAGAAAATTTCAGACTTGGTGTGGAAAAGAGTTCTGCAGGTATCATGAACTGTTCAAAACACAAATAAATGGGTCCTGGAACAAGTCAGGTACACATTCTCCCTAAAAGCCAGATGATGTTGTACTTTGGCCATATCTTGAGAAGAGATGACTCACTAGAAAAGATAATATCGCTTGGTAAAATGGAGAAGAGGAAAGAAAACATGAAGACCATATTCCAGATAGATAGACATAATCAGAGAAGCAATGGCTCTGAGTCCACAAGACCTGAGCAGGGCTGTTGAGGACAGGGCGACTTGGAGGTCTCGCATTCATAGGGTTGACATAAGTCGAAGTAAACTTGAAGGCAGTTAACAAAAACATTCAACATTAGAAAAATATAAGCTTCGTCTTCATCATGTTTTTAAATCTGACAAACACTAGTCAAAATAGAGAAGCAGTTCCACTGTCCATGTTAAATACCCTCTGATGAGTGTGTATACAGTTCAGTAAATGACAATCCTTGGGCAAAATCTAGTTCTTAGATAATATGAACCAGACTTTATTTTTTGTAGACAAAAGACAAAAACTGCATGACAAATGGGGCATTTGAGACAACAAAACCTATAAAGTGTTCTGAAGTATTGTCGAAGGCTTTCATGGCCGGAATCACTGGGTTACTGAAGGGTTTTTTTTGGCTATATGGCCATGTTCTAGAGGCATTCTCTCCTGATGTTTTGCCTGCATCTATGGCAAGCATCCACCTCACTACCTCTGAGGATGCTTGCCATAGATTCAGGCGAAACGTCAGGAGAGAATGCCTCTAGAACATAGCCATATAGTCCCAAAAAACCTACAACAACCCACTGTTCTGAAGTAATTTTTGGAAATGAGGAACGTTTGTGATTTTTTTTATACATTATAACTGTATTCTAAATTCGCTTCTGACACAATAAATAAAAACTAGGCCACACCATCATCACTTCTCAAAATGGCCCTGCAGGAAAACTGCTACTCAGGGTTGCAGAATTTGTGAGAAGAAGCTGAAGCCAGTGAGTCATATCCTGGCAAATTACATGATGTATCTATTTAACACTATGTGATTTGCCACATTTATTTCTGATGGTTTTCTCCCTTCTACTTTCTTGTTTGTTTTGTTTTGTTTTGAAGAGAGAGCAATACAGCCATCTCCACTAGCTTCCAAATGTGATAAAACACATGTTTCACATCACTGATCATTTCTATAATGCCAATAGGAACACAAGGAGAGACACCGATGTTACAGCTCTTATAAGTGCCACTGTAATAAGCCACTGATATAAATAACAAAGCGTTTGAAGAGGAACAGTTCAGTAAGTTACCTCGTAGAAAGCTAAGGCCATATTAAACCAAATACTACTCTGAGAAGTGCAAGAGAAAGAGAGCATCTCCCCATTTGCATTTTGTGGATTATCTGCCTTGATTTTCTGGGTTATATGGCTGTGTGGACCCTGTGATTTTTGCCTTCCTGGGTTATGGAGATCCTAAGGCAATCCTATCATTGCAAGATTTGTTCAGACAAGGTTTGCTTTTGCCTTTCTCTAAGAGAATTTGACTTCTTCAAGGCCATCCAATGGGTTTCTGTGACCACCAGCAGCATCAGTCCAATGCTCAAAGAACTACAACACGCTAGCCCTGAAGCCCGTGTTTATGTGAACCGTCCAAGAACCCTACAAGATTTGAAGACCAACATCCAGGAAGAAATTGCCAACATAATGCCTGCTATGCTGGCAAGAGTCATGACAAACGCCAGAAATCGGTTTATTCAGTGTATGGAGAATGGGGGATGTCCCCTACCTAATTTGATCTTCAAAACTACGTAAAACAAAACTTTAGGTATGTGCCTGTTCAGTTGTTTCCGACTCTTCGTGACTTCATGGACCAGTCCATGCCAGAGCTCCCTGTCGATCATCACCACCCCCAGCTCCTTCAATCCAGTCACTTCAAGGATACCATCCATCCATCTTGCCCTTGGTCGGCCCCTCTTCTTTTTTCCTTCCATTTTCCCCAGCATCATTGTCTTCTCTGAGCTTTCCTGTCTTCTCATTATGTGGCCAAAGTACTTCATCTTGGCCTCTACTATTCTTCCCTCCAATGAGCAGTCAGGCTATATTTCCTGAAGTATGGACTGGTTGGATCTTCTTGCAGTCCAAGGCACTCTCAGCACCTTCCTCCAACACCACAGTTCAAAAGCATCTATCTTCCGTAGGTTACTACGGGGAATACCATTGCTTTGACTATGCGGATCTTTGCTGCCAGTGTGATGTCTCTACTCTTCACTATTTTATCAAGATTTGTCATTGCTCTCCTCCCAAGAAGTGTCTCCTGATCAGAGACGGCCCTTGGTAATTTTCAACGGTAAGCAAATAGTATTTTGGTGCGCCCCCCGCCAATCACTGATATATATTTTCTGTTCATCGTGGGAGTTCTGTGTGCCATATTTGGTTCAATTCCATCATTGGTGGAGTTCAGAATGCTCTCTGATTGTAGGTGAACTATACATCCCAGTAACTACAACTCGCCTATGTCAAGGTCTATTTTCCCCAAAGGGCGTCTCAAGAGCGCCTCTGGGCAAAATCAACTATACTGCGAATGCTTACTTTGTGTAATGGTTGAGCCCCCCCTGCTTCTGATTTCCTGGCTGCAGTCTGCGTCTGCATTATATAATGCGCTTACATTATTTAAAAAATCCTGATTCATACAATGGGTTTTATTAAGTTTTGAAAAAAGGAAGTTATGCTGCTGCACCCTGTATTTATATGTCTGTTTTTATGATTTTAATGCATTATGTATTTTGTACGTTTTATGTTTTAATGGGGCACTGAATTGTTGACAATTAGGAAGCTGCTCCGAGTCCCCATCGGGGCTGAGATAGAGCGGAGTAAAAATACAATAAATCTATATAAATAAAAATGTAATGTTTGTTTGTGGGATTAACAGAACTCAAAAACCACTGGACGAATTGACACCAAATTTGGACACAAGACACCTAACAACCCAATGTATGTCCTTCACTCAAAAAAATGATTTTGTCATTTGGGAGTTGTAGTTGCTGGGATTTATAGTTCACCTACAATCAAAAGAGCATTCTGAACCCCACCAACGATGGAATTGAACCAAACTTGGCACACAGTTCTCCCATGACCAACAGAAAATACTGGAAGGGTTTGGTGGGCATTGACCTTGAGTTTGGGAGTTGTAGTTCACCTACATCCAGAGATCACTGTGGACTCAAACCAATGATGATCTGGACCAGGCCTGTAGCCAGGATTTTGTTTCGGGGGGGGGGGGGGACTGAGTCTGAGTGAAAGAGGGTCTACCCTAGCAAACCTTTTGTATCGTTACCCCAGTACCCCCATGCATATGGGATATATTGAGCATGGTGATCAGATCATGATATGAATAAACATAACAGTTTAAATAATGTACCAGTAAGGCCTTCTCACGGACCACCATGAGAATTGGGGGGGGCTGAAGCCCCCCCAGCCCCCAACCCCCCCGGATAATGATGATCTGGACCAAATTTGACATGAATACTCAATATGTCCAAATGTGAACACTGGTGGAGTTTGGGGGAAAAGACCTTGACATTTGGGAGTTGTAGTTGCTGGGATTTATAGTTCACCTACAATCAAAGAGCATTCTGAACTCCATCAACGATGGAATTGAACCAAACTTGGCACACAGGACTCCCATGACCAACAGAAAATACTGGAAGGGTTTGGTGGGCATGGCTTGGTTTTGGAGTTGTAGTTCACCTACATCAGAGAGCACTGTGGACTCAAACAATGATTGATATGGACCAAACTCTACACAAATACTCAATATGCTCAAATGTGAACACTGGTGGAGTTTGGGGGAAATAGAATCTTGACATTTGGGAGTTGTAGCTGCTGGGATTTATAGTTCACCTTCAATCACAAAGCATTCTGAACCACACCAACGATAGAATTGGGCCAAACCTCCCACACAGAACCCCCATGTGGGCCGCCGCAGCAACGCGTGGCAGGGGACGGCTAGTAAATAGTAAAAATGATGCTGGGCTTTAAAATGTCCTCTGACCTTTCCCCTAACCGCATAGCCACAAGTGTTGTTGGGTTGCAATTCCCATTCTCCCCAGTCTGTATGGTGGACAATGTAAAGGGATGGGAATTAGCCTTCAAAAACACCTGGGGACGCAAACTGGGTCAAAACTAAAGAGAACTGACCACTATGGACAGAAAGTATAGTCTAGTTGAGGGCCCTTTGAAGGCTGATGCAAACGAGCCCTAAGTGAAGTTTCCTTCCCGCCAACCTCTCTTCAAAGACACGTTGACCAAGTGAAGCGCAAACGCCGGGCACCCAGGAGAGACTGGCCACAGGTAGGCCTCGTTGCCAAGGGCAACCGGGGGGGGAGGGGGCACCTACTCTCGCTTTGGAGGATCTCGCGGCGCAGTCCGGCCACGTACTGGATCAGCTCCTCCAGGCTCCGCTCGCAGAGCTGCCCATAGCCCGAGAACTTCTGCAGCACCTTCTCCAGCTCGCGCTCCACCGTCACGCACTGATCCATGGCCGCTTTTTCCCGCCGCTCCGGCCCACGGAGCTCCCGCAAACAGACCCCGAGGCCAACCCGGGCTGGTGGTGGGGGTTGTTTTTGCAGGCAGCGCAATAGACGAGCGGGGTCCTTCCCCGAGCAGGGCTGGCGCTGCGTCACAGGCGGCGCCGAAAAACAACCCCGAGTTCCTCAGCGGTGCTGTTTGATTGGACGCTGACTCATAGATCTAGGAATTTGTAGAGAAACGCATTGCTTAGCTCACAGAGAATGCTTGCGGGTGTATTTGGAGTATTTTCCCCACTGCTTATGGGCCCTGTTTATGGAACGAGAGACCAAATTGCCAATATCCGCTGGATAATAATATAACAATAAACTTTATTTATACCCCACCGCCATCTCCCCGATGGGGACTCGGGGGGGCTTACATGAGGCCAAGCCCAAACAACAAATTACAGCAAAAAAAAAAAAAAAAACCGAAAACAATAAACATTGTCGAAGGCTTTCATGGCCGGAATCACTGGGTTGTTGTAGGTTTTTCTGGGCTATATGGCCATGTTCTAGAGGCATTCTCTCCTGACGTTTCGCCTGCATCTATGGCAAGCATCCTCATTGGTAGTGAGGTCTGTTGGAAGTAGGAAAATAGGTTTATATATCTGTGGAATGACCAGGGTGAGACAAAGGACTCTTGTCTGCCGGAGCTAGGTGTGAATGTTTCAATTGACCACCTTGATTAGCATACAATGGGCTGACTGTGCCTGGAGCAAACTTTTGTTGAGAGGTAATTAGATGTCCCTGCCTGCTTCCTCTCTGTTGTTGTGCTGTTGCAATTTTAGAGGTTTTTTGATTTTTTTTAATACTGGTAGCCAGATGGTGTTCATTTTCATGGTTTCTTCCTTTCTGTTGAAATTGTCCACATGCTTCTTGTGGATTTCAATGGCTTCTCTGTGTAGTCTGACATGGTGGTTGTGAGAGTGGTCCAGCATTTCTGTGTTCTCAAATAATATGCTGTGTCCTGGTTGGTTCATCAGGTGCTCTGCTATGGCTGACTTCTCTGGTTGAAGTAGTCTGCAGTGCCTTTCATGTTCCTTGATTCGTGTTTGGGCACTGCGAACCCCACCTCCTCCAAGATGAACTGAACCACCTAAACTGGGCTCTACAAGCCAATGGATACTCCACCTCAGAAATCAGAAGAGCTGCAAGACCGAGAACAAACCACGAGAATAAAGACGAAGATCCACCCAGAGGAAAAGTGTTCTTGCCATACATCAAGGGAACCACTGACCGCATAGGGAAGCTGATGAGGAAACACAACATACAAACTAGAGATCCACCAAGAAAATCCAACAAATGCTATGTTCAGCAAAGGACAGGAGGAATCCTCTCACTTCTGCAGGAGTCTACCGTGTACCATGCAGCTGTGGACAAGTCTACATAGGGACCACCAAACGCAGCATTGCCCAAACACAAATCAAGGAACATGAAAGGCACTGCAGACTACTTCAACCAGAGAAGTCAGCCATAGCAGAGCACCTGATGAACCAACTTGGACACAGCATATTATTTGAGAACACAGAAATGCTGGACCACTCTCACAACCACCATGTCAGACTACACAGAGAAGCCATTGAAATCCACAAGAAGCATGTGGACAATTTCAACAGAAAGGAAGAAACCATGAAAATGAACACAATCTGGCTACCAGTATTAAAAAACTCTAAAATTGCAATAGCACAACAGCAGAGAGGAAGCAGGCAGGGACATCTAATTACCTCTCAACAAAAGTTTGCTCCAGGCACAGTCAGCCCATTGTATGCTAATCAAGGTGGTCAGTTGAAACATTCACACCTAGCTCCGGCAGACAAGAGTCCTTTGTCTCACCCTGGTCATTCCACAGATATATAAACCCATTTTCCAACAGACCTCACTACCTCTGAGGATGCTTGCCATAGATGCAGGTGAAATGTCAGGAGAGAATGCCTCTAGACCATGGCCATACAGCCCGAAAAGACCTACAACAACCCATTTTATTGTAATTGTATTATTGGCCTTGGCCTCATGTAAGCCGTCCCTTTGGGGAGATGGTGGCGGGGTATAAATAAAGATTATTATTATTATTATTATTTTACTGACACAAAAGCACAGTATGTCACAGCAAACAAGATCTATATGCTGGATTTCGTATCTCAAAATCACAAGTCGAACACTTCCCAAGCATCTAGGACTGTGTGATGTATTGCCGAATGATGCATGCAGATCCAAGTATTTATTATTTATTTATTTATTTACTTCATTTTTATACCGCTCTCTCTCAGCCCGTAGGCGACTCAGAGCGGTTTACAACCAAGTCAGTATACAAAGTGCACAACATTAGCATTTAAAACAGTAACCAAGGCAACTACATCAATATAACAATACATCAATATAACATCAATACATCCATATAACTAATCCATCACGTCTCATCAGCAAAGTCATAATCCGATCTCCTTGTCCATTATTCCATGTTCCATGATCAATCCATTAATTGCACTGCTTAATTAAACGCCTGTTCAAAGAGCCAGGTCTTAACTCTTTTATTTATTTATTTATTTATTTATTTATTTGGGGTTCTTTTACCCCGCCCTTCTCACCCCGAAGGGGACTCGGGGCGGCTTACAGAGGCAAAGGCACAATTTGATGCCTGCATCATAAAAACAATCATACACAAAATTACATCAATTCATAGTTGACAACAATTCATGCATCATAACCATAAAATCAATAAAATCAATAAAACCAATACAAACCCAGTTTCTCCTCTTACATGGGCAGCGTTCGCTAACTCATAGATCTAGTTTTACGTTCCACTTCATCAATCCTGTTGGTCTTACTCGCCTGATTGTCTGATTTAATTGCCAGAGTGCCCAAAGGCCTGGTCCCATAACCACGTCTTCACCCTCCTCCTGAAGGCGAGGAGGGATGGTGATGCCCTGATTTCCCCCGGGAGTGAGTTCCACAGGTGAGGGGCCACCACTGAGAAAGCCCTGCTCCTCGTCCCCACCAGCCTCACTTGTGACAGTGGTGGGGTCGAGAGCAGGGCCTCCCCAGATGATCTCAGAGTTCGGGGTGGGACGTAGAGGGAGATACGTTCGGACAGATACACTGGACCGGAACCGTATAGGGTTTTGTAGGTCAAAACCAGCACCTTGAATTGTGCTCGGAACTGAATCGGCAGCCAGTGGAGCTGGCACAGCAGGGGGGTGGTATGCTCCCTGTATGTCGCTCCGGTGAGCAATCTGGCTGCCGCTCGCTGGACTAGTTGAAGTTTCCGAACAGTCTTCAAGGGCAACCCCACGTAGAGCGCATTGCAGTAGTCTATTCGGGATGTAACAAGAGCATGGACCACCGTGGCCAGATCAGACTTTCTTCCTGAATACGCCTAGGGCCGGACTGAGGAGAGGGCGCGATCGTTGATGTGTTTGGAGGGAGAGTGGCGGTGCTGGCGCCCAGTGTTCCGAGGGGCCACCACTGAGAAGGCCCTGTCTCTCGTCCCCACCAGCCATGCTTGTGAGGCTGGCGGGATCGAGAGCAGGGCCTCCCCGGACGATCTTAATGTCCTAACTGGTTCATAGGGGGCAATGCGAAGTAAGGTGGCCTTTTGCAGTTGAAAGATCGTGATTTTGCCAATGTTAATTGTTTCCAAATGCCGTCTGAGATCTTTTGGCATGGCACCCAGTGCGCTAGTGACCACTGGGACCACCCGTACTGGTTTATGCCAGAGCCTTTGCAGTTCAATATTGAGGTCCTGATAACGGGTGAGGTTTTCCTCAATGCGACTGTCACCCGGTATGGCCACATCAATAATCCAGAAGTCCAAAACACCCGGAGGGCAGAAGTTTGCCCATATCAGGGAAATCCCAAAGAGTAGGATAATTTAAGTTGGAAAGTCCTTTCAATGAACCCAAAAGTGGAGAACTGTGTGTGAATCTACACTTCAGTCTATTGTTCTACACTAGATAAACACATCTCTGCGTATTCAAGTCAGGCATTAACTCAGGCACCTAAGACTGGCCTCCAATTGGAGTCCCTCATTGCCTGCCCATTTCGGACTTTTTGCGTCAAGAGCTTTGACAGACAGTGTGGGGGAAAAGGGGGGGGGGGTGTTGTTTGTTTATATGTGAGGTCTAATGAGTAAACACAGGCTGGAAAGCGGAAGTGACTCCTCGGGGTCTTCCCGCCATTGGTTTAACTTCCGTCGCTTGCTGGCTAGCGATAGAAAAACAGTTTGTGGGCCTCACAAAGTGGATACTCGGCCTCAGCTTCTGGCCTTCCCACATAGCCATATAACCCATAATATCAAGGCAGAAAATCCCACAATGTCTGTTTTGAACAGGGTTATCTGAGTCCACAGTGCCATATAATCGGGTTCAATGTGGATTGTATACAGGCCCAAATTTACACAAATAGAATCGGAAGAGACCTCATGGGCCATCCAGTCCAACCTGCCAAGAAGCAGGAAAATTGCATTCAAAGCACCCCTGACAGATGGCCATCCAGCCTCTGTTTAAAAACCTCCAAAGAAGGAGCCTCCACCTCACTCCGGGGCAGAGAGTTCCACTGCTGAACGGCTCTTACAGTCAGGAAGTTCTTCCTCATGTTCAGATGGAATCTCCTTTCTTGTAGTTTGAAGCCATTGTTCCGCGTCCTAGTCTCCAGGCAAGCAGAAAACAAGCTTGCTCCCTCCTCTTTATTTATTTATTTATTTATTTATTTATTGTGTCATCAGCAACCATTGTGTTACACTTCTAACAGAGCAAAACAAACACACAGATTAAAAAGAAAAAGGAAAAAAAAAACACACAGATTTTGCAAATTTGGTATTTGGTTAAATGTCCTTTGACCAGTATCTGGCCACTTGGAGTGCCTCTGGGGTTGCCGCAAGAAGGTCCTCCATTGTGCATGTGGCAGGGCTCAGGGTGCATTGCAGCAGGTGGTCAGTGGTTTGTTCTTCTCCGCACTCGCATGCCGAAGATTCCACCCTGTAGCCCCATTTCTGAAGGTTGGCTCTGCATCTCGTGGTGCCAGAGCGCAGTCTGTTCAGCACCTTCCAAGTCGCCCAGTCTTCTGTGTGCCCAGGGGGGAGTCTCTCATCTGGTATCACCCATGGATTGAGGTGCTGGGTTTGGGCCTGC